GTAAGCTACCCGGAAGGCACTTCGTAAGGCCGTGGAAAAACAACTGCGCTGTGATCAATGACGCCACCCAGTAGGATCGTGGCGGGACCTACCTTACGCTGCAGACCTTTAAAGGACACGGTAGCAGCAACGAAGGTCGCTCTGTGCAGTCACCTACCGCCTGTGAAATAGCCAGCGCAATCCTGGCACACCCAACTTCATTTGGCCTGATCTATTTGTAAGATGAAATAGCCCTTAAAACTTGAGGGCCAGGATGCTGTCCCTTGAACGATATGAACAGTTCAAGAGACTTGAAAATTACAGGTAAAATGACCAGACTACCAGATTCTGTATTCCGCATTGAGATACTAGAAAGGGCTCAGTATTACTCATAAAACTTCAACCTCCATATACCAGTATGACTTAACTGGCTACCTCCCATCTATGAGATGGGAATTCAATTGGATTCATCCTCCTTGTTGTACGAGAACTTCGCTCGGTGCTCTACGCGCCCGCAACCCCTGAGCGTAACAGTAATGATTAGAGAAACTGAAAATGAAGGAAAATAAACACATGGTAAGCTACCCGGAAGGCACTTCGTAAGGCCGTGGAAAAACAACTGCGCTGTGATCAATGACGCCACCCAGTAGGATCGTGGCGGGACCTACCTTACGCTGCAGACCTTTAAAGGACACGGTAGCAGCAACGAAGGTCGCTCTGTGCAGTCACCTACCGCCTGTGAAATAGCCAGCGCAATCCTGGCACAACCAACTTCATTTGGCCTGATCTATTTGTAAGATGAAATAGCCCTTAAAACTTTAGGGCCAGGATGCTTTCCCTTGAACGATATGAACAATTTACAGTCGCTTCCTATTTTGATTTAGGCATATTCTATTTATTTATTGCCTGCACTCATAGATGTGCTGTTGCCCCTGTTCTCATCACTGGTAGCAAAGGCATACAGTTGTTTTTGCTGCAGACGCTGAGGCGTGTCAGGGGCTGGGTTTGGCGTGGTAAGAGCCTGCCCTCCACCCGTTGTCGAAGCGGGTAAGCGACAAAAAAAAGGGAGTGCGGGCTCGCCCCCGCCCCCCCCCCCTTAACAAACCCTTTATTGCCGCGCTGAGGTGGGGGGGGGAGGGTGTGAAACATCCCTGATCCATTTTCAGAAATATAGTTTCGCCGCGTTGTGCGAAAAGGGGTATATACCAGGGAGTGTTACTTCCCAACCACGGCATCGCGAGACCGCGACCCTGGAGATATCGCGCTCCGTTTCCCCTCGTTCAGGCTTAGGAGAGTGCGAACGACCACGGCCGTAGCGAAATAATGTCGCCTCCGTGAGAGAGAAAACTCACAGGTGGCTCGCGCGGCGCATGTCGGGCGATTTCGCGGTTATGGTGCGCCGAAGTGCTAGACATTAACATGGGCTGCCACCACGCCTTTAGTCTATAGCGGCAGGGTGCGCATACAAATTGACCGGTAAACGCGGCGGTATCTGCTTTTTTATGAAATGTTCCAATCGAACTCGGAAAAACTTTCCAGCTGCTTTCCATGTCACAGTGCTGTTAATTCAACTGGATTCATCTTCTTTGTTGTATGAGAACCTCGCTCGGTGCTCTACGCGACCGCAACCCCTGGGGCGTAATAGTAATAA